CAGGACTGGGAAATCTCTACCAAAGTGGACAAAGAGCCAGTCAATGTCATAATGTTTTACAAAACGCTTCTGATCTTTAAACGCCGTTTTAGCAAAATACTGCTTACATTTTCAGGAGGAAGGACACTGATACGGGAGTAAAAAGAACAGAAGATAGCAGGGAGTCACAAATGGCTTTTAAAATGATAACTGGAACACCTACACTGATAAATATCTTTTTCCTCTTTCAATGGTTCCTGTCCGTACTGAGCTGGATTCTCTTCTAGCACTGCTCCTCTAGCCATTCTGCTCTTCCCTTGTGTCTGAAATTTGGAGGAGCTGGTCCTGCAAATGCCTACTCTCAGAAGCAGAGCCACTAATAAATCCTCGTAAGATTAAGCCAGAGAGACAAGAGTGCTAACCTGAGCACACACAGAGTCAGGGTAGAACTGCAAGCAGCCGAGGAATTATGTATAAAAGTTATGGCCATTAATTTTTGTACGTGGCATATGATATCTTTCTTTTCTCCTCACTTCAAAGACAGCCAGGTAGACTGAAGACCTTGGTCAGGTACAAGCTGGGGTTAAGAATACATTCTCCTCTGAAACCAGAAAAGTGACACTGTTTTATCTCTTTCTTTAAAATTAATTAAGTCATGCCAATCTTCTGAAGCTACAGAACTTGCTTTACTCTATGTTAGGCATTCAGGAGATGCTCTGCTTCTCTAGACCTGCATGTGTGAGGGCAGGTGTGGGTGCAATTTTCAGGCCTGATTTCTGCAAAAAGTGTTCTCTGGTCTTCACACTAGCCCTGCAGGCCTGGACTCCTCTCACTATACGCCTTTAGCTTCAATAAAAGTCAGTGAATTGGGTATACTTCAGTGAAGGATCCTTCAGGCACCAGCGTCCCTGCTCTCGTGGCTGCTGTGACTTTACTGTTGCTGCCAGCGAGCAGTGGGACCTGTGCAGTGGGTGCTGTGCCCTTCCAGTTCAATACAGCTGACCACCTCCTAATTATTGCAGTAGCACAGAGCTAGGAAATGATCACTTCATGTATAAAGATTGGATGTCCAACTGCATTTTGCCTCATTTCTTCCCATCAGAATGGGCACTAACGTGGTTACACATGGAACAGGAACATCGTGGTACCAGATGTGCCATTTGCATCATGATTTCAGCTGTAACTGCAGAGGAAATCCTATTTACTCTACTTGGGAGCTTGCTGGGTTTTCTTTTTGTTTGTAGGTATGTGTGCTGTGAACTGGGCTTTTGCAAATAGCTTGACTTGCTTATGCAGAGAATTTACCCTCTTTTCATTACTGCTTCCTAGGTCTATTTTTCTCTAGGCTCTATTGTATTTGTTGTAAGTCTTTTTCTCAGAAGTCTAGGGAAAGGACACAAAGTGATGCTGTACAAACCAGACACTATTTATTTACTTGCTTAAGAGTGGAGCATTTTTATGCTTTCTTCTTTTTAATTATGCAACTATTTTAGTTGTTTGTTCCTTTCCCACTGTGCTTCACCAGAAGTTGAGATGTCTTGGAAATACCACATTACTTTTTCCTGTAATTATGAAGTTGTTTCCCTACCAAGACACACATGTTTTGAGGCAGATCTGTGCTTAGGAACCGAGCTACAAAAATTCCATTTAGGAAACACAATATAGTTCTGAGTTCAGGGAAATATTTTCAAACACATCCATGTCAGTCAAGAGCCTTTATTCAATTCAGAAAGAAACCAATGTGACTCAGGGGATAACTCCTCCGAAATGTAAGACATTTCAGGTCACTACATGACTGCTGCGCTTGGCAATGTGACCTTTAGGAATCTCTGCAAGGCACACAGCATTGGAGATGCTACCTCCCTGCTGATGCTGGTGTTTTTTTGTTTTGTCTTGTTTGGGTTTTTTTCTGACGCCAAAGCAGCTGCCTGAGACCCCCAGCTCCCCCCAGCCACCCTCACCAGTGCCAGGGGGGTGCTTTCTGGTCACACACCAGTGCCAGGTGGTGCATGACACATTGGGTCATGCTGGTGGCAAGTCCCGGGATGACAACATGAGCTGGCCAGAGAATTGGCCTCTGTCCCTCCTCGCCTGAGCCTGGCATCAGTCACGTTGCAAGTTCCCCCTCCTCCAGCTGTTCCGCAGCCCCCCCCAGGAGACAATCACATCTGGATGTGTCACCTATTTCTTCTGCCCCTGACTTCCTCCAGCAGCCAGGCAAGGGAATTAGGAGTAGATGTAGGAGCACAGCTATCAAAAGGGGGCTGGTGCTAAACAAATGGCTTTTCTGACAGCCTGGGGCTCGCCCACACCACTCTGCTGTCTGGTCTTTTCTCCTCTTTGCACTGACAGTGGTGTCTCTGGCGTTCTCTGTCTGCCACGCGTAATAACATGAACAGATGAAAAAAGCCTGCTGAGCGTTAACACTATCATTAACTTGCTAGGAATTTGAAGTATTTAATCAATCAATTCTGCTAATTTTCAGACAATTAATCTTCTGCTATCACATTTTTATGATTCTGTACAATGCAGTTATTTGAACAACAAGAGAAGGTAGATTATGGACCTACCTAAGGAGACTTACAGTCTTTAAGGTACCATTTAGGAATACTTTTTTCTGTAGTAATTTCTTCAAATTTCCCTGGAAGGATGGATTTACTAACTTAAAAAGGGAGTAACTTGTTTCTTTTGTTTTCTGTTTCCAAAGTAACAACAATTAGATAAACAGATAAACAGCTTTTTAAAATTTATTTTTCATATTCAAACCACTTCAATGTGAGTAAAGAAACTATCATTTTTTTTTTCCTGTTCACTCATAAGATTCGTGCTAGACTCAGTCCTGCTTCCCTTGAAGCTAGTGGCAACTCATCCACTAACTTAACTCAGACCAGGCTCTCTAAATGGTATTTTGTCCCTTTAAAATATCATTTAAGGTTTTGAGGATCTACCAGCAAGTTTTTGGCTGATTTAAAAGAAGAGTTTCAGGGGGACATTTCAGGGAAATAACCACAAGTCACATTAGTTTTTTTTTTAACTGAATAAAGGCTCCACCTTGTCTAGATTGCTGTGAAGATTTTTAGGAAAACTAACCAAGCCATACCCTAATGTCTTTACTAACTTATTATCGGATGCTCATTTGTGTAAGCATCGCATAAAGACTTTTCAGAATGACTGACCCTCTGTTTGGAACAGGACTTGCAAAAGAGATTTAACATCTGTGTTTTTTCCCCCAAAGATTGTTCATTCCTGTGAATCTACTGACTCTGATTTTAAGGCATTGTCTCTGCAGCTCTAGATGTTGATACAGACCTGCACACTTCCCTGCATTTATGATATACTTCATTATTATTAATGATGCATGTACAGAATAGTTGATGTTTTATAAAAAACACGCAACATACATCTAAACTAAGCCAAACTAGCTGGTTTACAGGTTAAACGTCAGCAGTACCAGGACTTACGTTTCAGTATGTTCCTCTGCTCCAATTCTTCAGCAGTCGGCCTCTGGCTCAGTCGTCTGCGAAAAAAGTCCAAGATCAGTTTTTGGACCATATCACATTCTCCTCAGTTCTCTGTCTTGAAGAGTAATTTTGGGGTGTGAGAGGCAGAGCAGAAAGCACTGACACTGCCCCATTATGTACTTGGTACGCCCGGACCATGCGTGACACAGACCATGCTTCGCTTTTGCAGTTTCCTCTGTTTTCAACTCACGAAAGACAAAATAACGTTATGTCATCTTAGGCACGACTCTCCCACCCCTACCCCAGGCAGAGCTGCTGAAAGCTAAAGCTACACAGATGTCTCCACTTAATTTCCTTCCTCCCATGCCTGCTTCCTGACTCGCACAAGTATTTCTAGCTAAGACCCAGCTAACCCTCTCGCTGCCCTCCTGCCAGCCTCCCGACTGCGCCCTGGTTGTTCAAACAGCGCTTGAACACGCAGACCGTCCACAGAAAAAACAGAGAGATGGTTTGGCAGCGCTGAAGGCAGAAAAAATCATCCCTCCTCCTCCTCTGCATCCTCACTTCCCTCCTCCTCCTCTTGCGGCTTTTATTAGTAAATCTTATATTGAAGGATCAGCATGACTTGCTAGTCAACCTGTATGTAATAGGGTGACAACAAATACAATCTAATTACAAATGAGGACCTTGAGCACAGAAAGGGTCTGAATATTCAGAATACTAAGTGATGGAGAGAAGCACAAAGGGGTCTTTGGAAAACAAAGTAAACCAGGGAGATGACATCAGAAGGCAAGGCTGTTGGGCCTCCTCATACTCTCCTCTGAGTCAATGGGCATTTTGTTAACAACACCAGCAACAGGGCAGAGCCTCCTCTTCCTTCAGACATGGTCATTCAGAGATGTTCCCAACTTGGGTGCCCCAGACTCTACCAGTTGGCTCATCGGTTCCCCCGGGAGGTACTGGGTACTGATAGGAAGCATGATATGAATGAACGCTGGCTGCACGGCTTCATCTTCTGCAATGAAAACTTCCCCCACCTGGGGCACAGAAGCTCACTGAAACGGGGCTGTCTCTGCAAGGCTGGATGAGGGATGTCTCATGACATGGGGATGTCATGAGGGATGACAACGGCTCCTCACCACACAGGGGCTGAGCTGCTGCTCAGGGATGCACAGGCATCCCCAGCCTTCTCCTGCGCCAGGAGCTCACCAGCACACCAGTTCAGTACCCCTGCCCCGCACATCGTGCACGGGGCTGAAGTGCATGGGGTGGGTAAGAGCCAACCCCTACTTTAGCACTACAGGCATCCGACTTCATATAGCCCGAAGATTTCCACCAGCAGAGGTGACAGGAGCCATGTGTCCTTTGGGGCCACTTTACACCGCAAAAACAAAACAGCAGAACATGGCTCTATTCCAGTGGAGAATCTGGAGCCACTAGCTTGGTGTCTTTCCCATGGCAGACTGAACATTTATCTCATTGGAAAGGTGTTGAAAGGGACAGAAACTCATCCTTGATTCAGAAGTAAAGTACTTTGAAGACAGAAAGTGCTATTCAAGTGCTTGCTTTTACCACCTCTAAGATACAGTAGCTGTTGCTAATGGGAGACTTCACCTTAGGAATCAAAACTACTTTATTTCTAGCAGCACGTGACAATCAAAGAGAAAAAGTTGCCACTCTTAGCCCTACCATGTGTGTCTACAGGAATTGAGTTATACAATGTTTTAAATCCACAGTACAGTGATGCTTTTCAAGAAGATCCACCAGAGGGGTGTTAAGGACGGATGCCAGACTGTGTGATTCTTCCCCACGCTGCCTGGTAGAGCCCCTAGTGAAAGCCAGACAGGCTTTGAGAGTCAAATTATTTTATGGATCCCATAATCCACCCTTTTCAGGCTGCAGTGTGCTCCTGCCTAAATGATGACCACTGTTTTCAAGCGATGCACTCACATGGCAGAAAAAGCCATGATACTTTTGATAGATACAGTCTGGAGATGTGAAGCTGTGGGTTCATGGGTTGTCGATCGCTTCTGGACTCCTATAAAGCCAAGAACTTTTAATAGCAAGACTTAGGCAGTAGGAAAAAATAAGGTACCCTTGTAGTCTAACAAAATTATGACTAGTCCTCACAGTGCAAGCCGTGAAGCACAGCTAAGGTCATGAATAGAAGCTGTCGAGGTGCCTGGCCTCCAGCACCAGGGTCTGCTTTCATGTGCATGAACTGCTGCTACACGACCATTTCCATCATCCTTTAGGATTGACTGAGCCTGCTCCTGCTCCTGCTCCCTCATTGTGAGTCCCTCCTTGATGAGCTCCTCAGTCAAACCAGCCCCCTCCCCAGCCTTTTGCTTCCAAGCTCTCAAAATTATTTATTTTCCGGGTCTCAATCTTTTAATTTAATTTATTCTCTTTGGGCTTTACAACCAACTCCACCAGTTCCTCAGAACAGCTTCATTTTAGTTCTTTTTTCTTGCCTCTTAACTTTTAGGTTTGCCACATGTTGAGCATGACCATCTTTTAAATCTTGATACTAGTTACTGATTCCGTAAATCAAGAAATGTAAGCACCTATTGCTTTTTTACAAAAAACCCAAAGATATGTGTTTTTTCACACCACATTTCAGTATACCATATCCAGTGTGCCACTCTGATCTTGGCCAGCCCCAGGTGAAACCCCCCACCTTCTATCTTCCCTCCTGTGTTGCACAGGACAAAAAAAAAAAATTAATGCAGCCCACCTAGCTTGCAGAGGTTGATTTCAGCGGTTTGATTGCTTGGATTGCAGCTGTGCCTTATTTTGTTTAACATCTCAGAGGCGGCATGAGGCTGTCAAGAGGCCAGAAGTCAGGAAACAAGTGTCTCATTAGCAGCACAATCAGAATAAACAGGAGAGAATGGAGGTGAGGAAGGAGCCTGGTGCAACAGCAAAGAACAGATCTGCTTGTGAAAACTGTGAGAGGAGTGGGATGCATGGTGCTGCTGGCCAGAAGTCAGGAAACAAGTGTCTCATTAGCAGCACAATCAGAATAAACAGGAGAGAATGGAGGGGAGGAAGGAGCCTGGTGCAACAGCAAAGAACAGATCTGCTTGTGAAAACTGTGAGAGAGGAGTGGGATGCACGGTGCTGCTGTTGATCAGAAAGGTAACTCTGGCTGTTCCAAAAGTAACAACTGTTAACAGCACTTTAGACTCACATCAAAGATCATCCAGTTCCAACCCCCCTGCCATGGGCAGGGCCACCTCCCACTAGCCCAGGTTGCTCAAAGCCTCAGTTATCCTGTAAGTTACCTTATACAGCCTTTCTGTATCTAAAATCTCTTGCGTGAGCATGTTTGACCTTCGCTGTGCCATTCACGCAGTTTTGCAATGAGCTTCAGGCATTCAAGGGGATAGGAAAGGTTTTTTTTTGTGATTTGTGCTTTGCAATGCATTGCCTGGTTTATACTTCATCTGTTTTTGCAATATTGTTAATGGCGGTTTTGCAAACACACTGACAAAGGTTTTACCGCAATGAAAACCTTCCTAAGATTTATGGTGACATAAAGAAAGCCTCGCTAGGATTTCACTGCAAAAACAATATTCAAATAAGATTGACAGTGAAAAATAAAACGGTTTGCTCACATTTTACAAAGATAAACTTGACAACAAACCAATTTTCTGGATTAATTCCCTGCATGATCAAAAAGCACCACATTCCTTGTGCTAGAATTACACAAAAAGAGCCGAGCAGCTCTTCGTAAAGACATTCTGTGGTGGGGGTTTTATGGTTGAGGTTTGGTTTTTTTCCTTTTTGAATTCGCTCTGGGCTGGGCACATTGTGGTGGATGAGTAGGAGTTCAGAGGCAGGAGGGACAATCATGCAAAACCAATTGCTGTAGACCTAAAATATGGGCTGGTGGGGGTTTAATCTCTTCAGGGGGCCCGAGGAAAGAATGGCAGCATTCTCCCTGATGGATGCTACTGTCTGGAGCCTGCCCAGCAAACTGGGAACTCAGAAGGGGAAGTTTCTGCTCCACGTGGCAGTGTCCTGTAGGAGCAATAGAAAGAAAAACTGTCTGTACATCTCCCCAGGCAATAGAAAACACTTAAAGGAAGAGCCCACACAGCGATGCTTACCCTGCTCTGCAGCGTGGCCATACCCAGAGGGCTCTCAGGACAGTGGCCAACTAGTTGTGGGGCTGAGAGTCAGATTCTTGCAGCCCGTTTGGCTGGTAGCACCTTTGAAAAAAGTGGCTGCCTAGGCTGTCCCCTACTAGGAGTCATGGGTGTCCTCTCCTTCATCTCTTGTTTTATTGTGGATGAGCTCTGAGAAAGAGCTGGTTAATGCCATCCAGCTCATTGTTACTTGAGCAGGATGGTGCTAGATATGTGTTTTCTGGGTACCAAGAATTCATCTTTGCCTCTGCCCAGAGGACAAGAAAATTTAAGAGCTTAGTAGGTCATCTGCAAGTATAATGGCTGGAAAATGATGCCCCGCATACCGCCAAGCTTATTAACTCTGAGTGTCTGCAGATACCACAGGCAGAACCCAGCAGCTCTCCAGAGCTAGAACAGTGACATCTGGTGTGCGTGACCCAAGAGCAGGACTGATGGGCAAACAGGTCATGGGTGGTCACAACAGGGCATGCAGGAGTATGGTGAGGTGTCCAGAACATCACTACAACACCTCTGAGTCCAGCCATGCTCACACGGCTGTTCCTAATGTCACCCTGATGTAAAATAACTTCTGAGCACAGTGGGGCATAACCTCTGGAGCAACTCCTGATTTTATTCTGTAGATGCAAATCTTTCTACTTGGTTGCAACTGGGTTCATAGCACCCTAGAGATTGCTCTAAGAGAGGATTAAATCTCACCTGGGCACACGAGAAGCCAGCTGCTACAAAGAACTACTTGTCACATTGCTCTTCAGTTGGCACAAATGAGCATGCCTGCAGCCAGCAGAATTGTGCTGATTTACATCAGCTATATAATTCAACATGAGGAAAATGCAATGGGAGTAAGGAGTCTTACTGTTGCTTAATTTAGCTTGCCTTTCTCGATAATAATGCTGATAGCAAAGCTATATTGATGATGTATAGGCTACCAGGGGCTTTTTGCACTCCTATGCCAAGTACAGAAAATTGGAAGAGAAAAACGGAGGAGGAGAAAATCTTCTATTTGCTTCTACCAGTTGACTGTTAGCAGAGGGCAGGAATGAACTACCTCCTTTCCTTATGTTACTGCACAACGAGCAAAAAATATTTGTGAGCCTGGAGGTTCACTTTCTCTGAAGTATCAGCCCAGATACTGCCAGACAGACTTTAGAGTCTACAGAGAACTATCTTTCTCCTAACAGGGTTTATAGAATGGTATTATTTAAATACAGTTTTATCAATGAGTGAATAAACTGAAGGCGTATTAAATAGAAAATTCCTACCCAAAGAAGCAAATGTACGAGTTTTACAC